GGGGGGGGAGGAAAGAGGAAGACCAACGGATAGACATTTAGCCTACTAACCATACAGACAGACAAGCAGACAGACAGGCATACATACACATACATACAGACTAACAGACAGACAGACTGACAGACAGACAGACAGGCAGGCAGGCAGACATACATGATACCTTTTTAACATAACAGAATAGCCTAGCGGGATGGACTGAAACGTTACCAGAGTGGCGTCGGTAACCTAGTGGTTAGGCTACCGGACTCGTAATCGTGAAATTGCGGGTTCGGTGGTTCGAGCCTCAGCTCGGTCCGACGTTGTGTCTTTGGGAAAGGCACTTTACACGAACTTCCTACTTGGCTCTGTCCTATCGGAGACGGACGTTAAACTAGGAGGTACAGCTTCTTAAATAACTTAATAGTGTTGATAGGGGCGTTAAACCTATACCATTTCACCATTTTTGAAACGTTACCAGCTGTTGTATTCGAAAGGTGAAAAGTGAAAACACCCTGTTGTTACAATCGCTGTGGAATGGGGTTGTACAAATAGGAAAGTATAATTGGTTTCTTATTCTTATCAAGGGAACGATAACGTCAAACGTTTTTTTAAAAATATAAACTTGAAAGCTTTCGTTTTAGCAATGTTTTCTCAAGTATTCACGAGTCTCCTCAATCTGGCAAGAGTATTCTGTTTTGGTCATTGCAATCCTACGGATCATCTCATTTCAATACAGAAAGGCAAACTTGAGAGGTTTGACACCTTTAAAAAGGTTAAATAGCAGACTAATGCATCAGAAATCGTACTCACTGACACGTTAGCTCTGTGTAAAAAGCATAGGCCGCGTGTCCATCTCTAAGCAGATTTTAGTCCGCTTGGTCAAAATTCGGCTTGTTCGTTTCCAGCATGGGTGAACAGGTCGAAAGTTAAGGAATCCAAGTCAGGAATAACAGGGCATACAATTTTTTAAAACAGTTTTTGTACAGATGGTTAAAATTTGTTAATATCCATTTACACAGGTGGTACACTTTATCATTTTGTGACACTGACTATAAACAATGACATTAGATTTTTTAAAATTAGTACTTAAAAAATTGAAAGTTTGTTCGCTGTCACTGGGCTTATGGACGATGAATTACGAGATGACCCGACTAAAATGCCACGAACGGCTTTTCAACCGATCCATTTTTGTCGGGAGGAGTCGGATCCTTATGGTGGACACATCCTTGCATAATTTTCATTGATTACTCAAGTTAACAATTGTGTTCTGTTTCAAATACCACTTTCACGAGAGACGGACGACTTCTTTTTTGGTTTCTGGTTTGATGGACACGCGGGCCTGCCCATGGTGATGTTAAGCTAGATATACACTCAATATTCTCATTACAACAGAATAACTACCCCCCCCCCCACACACACACACTCACACAAAATATGAGAACAGAAGACGTAAAGTGAAAGCATTTGGGGTGTATGGGCCTAGTGGTATGGTTCCCTTTTTGCAAACAAAAGTTTTACGGTTCCATTCCTGGGCATTATTTCCTCGCCATTTTACCACTGTTCAACCCGCTTCAAATGGGAGGTTGGCAGTGTCGGTGGGTGAGAACCATTCAAACGAGAAGAATCACCTTTGTCTTCCATCTCTTTGTTCTAAGTTAGATTCTTCTGGATGAAAAAAGTTGCCTTAAAAATGGTTCAATGTGATTTATAACTGTTAAATCTCAGCGGTACAAACACAAACATTACACACAGCACTTCAAACATATTCAATATATGAGCTGGATTAGGCCGTGTAGTCGCGGAAAGTAGAACGCACATAACAAAAGTCCAATGAGCGCGTAGTAACTGTGTCACTGGAGGAAAGTGCGTCGTAAACTTTCACCCCATAGTCAGGGCTAGGAGAGCGTGAGCCGTCTGTACAGCGTTCTTTTCTCCATTCTTCTACCTTCTTACACGAAGAGTTTCATAACAGAAGGGCCGTGGGAATGGGCTCATCGTTTGCTGAGCCCTTAAGACATTTGATTGGCTTTCAGGTTACTACAGTTGTAAGCGGTGACATTAGTGATTGGATAAACGAATAAGACGCCAAGTTGATCACCCTGTGTTCATTGCGTGCAATAATAACGGTTTCAACTGCATATTTAGTTATTTAAGAAACTTTAATTTACTTTGAGCTAAAGTTGGTGGAAGGGGGAGGGGGGCTCGAGCCCGTGAACCCTTCACTACCCACCGCCACTGGTGCTTGGTAATCGATACAAAAAGAAAATGAGAACAACAGCTGTAGATACTTACAGGCTGCAACGTTGGAGCTCCTCCCACGGGATTCATATGCTGCAGAGCTGTCAAAAATTTGTGGCGCAACTTATCTTCAAATATCTCTTTAACGGGTGAACCAATGTCATCCACACTTTGCACAGCAGCTTGTATCAATTTGTCTTAATTTACTCATATTTTCCACAACAATTGAGGCTAGGTTTAAAATCTTTTCTTCATAAAGTTATATAAAATTATGCTATCAATCTCCGTCTCGCAAAAAATGGGATTGTTCACAGCATATCCCGCTTCTCACACACATTTTTCCTACCCATATGGGCTAAGTCACAGCTCACCAATTACGTTTTTAGAGACAAATCTTGTTACAAGAAATTAATGTTATAGTGAACACATTTTTTTTTTGCACTAAGGGCTCTCAAAACATGCGTTCAATAAAAATAGACTCGCGATTAGTAAAAAAGTGACGGGCTTGCTTTTAAAAGCGATATTGCCCCAGCTGTAAACTTTTTAAATTTATGTTGAAACCACCTTTTTGGATAGTTTATTAGTATTTATTATGGAATTCTTTAGAATACAGCTAACAGGTATTTACAAACTAAATGTTGATCTGTTAAGACAAATTGAGACAAGCCATTGTGCAGAAACCGGAGAGTCTATGCTCGATAGTTTAGAAAATATTTGACAACGAGTTGCACCACGATTTTTAGACCACCCTATAGATTACAATGATTTGGCTAACCAGTATCAGTTATTGTGAAGCCTTGGGAACCCTTAATGGTGTGTGTGGGGGGGGGGGGGAGGTTAATAAAAACGTAACCCTTTCACTTGATAAACAATAAAGGTGCGAGTAATTTTACAAGTCCAAACATTAATGAGAAACTGGCAAAATTAAAGAATACCCCCCTCCCCCCTCCTTCCCGCCGCAAATGCCTTCGTGCATCACGACAACCGTAACCCGCTGCTTCATGCTCCTGTAAGACATAACATAGCTACAACCCCACTGTGACCCCTGCAATGCCCCTAGGTCTGAGCATTAGGTCAAGAACGTTTGAAATTGGGTAGGCGACCTGGATGAAAAAAACCCAAAAAAACTATTAAATAGTTGGGGGGGGGGGGGTTCTTTTTGGAAGAGCTCTGCTCTAACCTAAACTATTCTAATAAGAATATTAGATTTCCTGACCTTCTAATCATGATTCAGGTGAACAAGACCAAGGGCCAGGCTGACAGACCAACGTTCATCGTAAAGCCCTCTGATGGTCATCGCGGTATTGGGGTCTACGTGATGCAGGACATGGCACAGTTTACGGACGAGGAGGATGACCACTATGTGGCCCAGGAGTATGTTTCTGACGTCTTCACCATGAACACGTAAGTGCCATGTTCTGTTGTGGTTGCTGTTGTTGTTGTTGTTGTTGTTGTTGTTGTTGTTGTTGTTGTTGTTGTGTGTGTGTGTGTGTGTGGTGTGTGTGTGTGTGTGTGGTAGCCTATCCATAGGAAATGTTTGGAGCCCCAAAGAGCGTGCTCTTCGCCAGGGCCACCGCCTCCTTGTTGTTGTTGTTGTTGTTGTTGTTGTTGTTGTTGTTGTTGTTGTTGTTGTTGTTGTTGTTGTTGTTATTTGCCATCCTTTTTGCTGTTGAGACTGCACAACGTACAGAGGTATCTCTTGGTTGAGCCACGCAGGAAAAACATTCGAGAAGATAATAAAACAGCGGATCAGACCTATTGTAGGGAGAAACCTGAGCGAAGCTAATTTCTGATTCCGAAAGGGAAGAGAACGCAGGGATGCTGTATTCACATTTCGACAGCTATGCGAGAAACCATCGAACACAACAAAGAATCAAACAGCGTCTTCACGGACCAGGAGAAGGCTTTTGATAGAGTAAACCATGCTAAACTCTGAAAGACACTTGAAACGTAGTAAGGCGTCAGAGGACAACTGTTAGACAATGTCAGAGCTCTATATACCAACAGTAGAAGCTCAATAAGAATAAAGGAAGGCAATACAGACTGGTTCAATGTAAGATTTGGAGCACGACAGGGATGCGTTCTATCTCCCCTTCTGTTTACATTATATATGGACACAATAACACAAGACGCAAACCAAAGCCATGAAAAGCTAAATGAATTATATTTGCAGACGACCAATGCCTTATTTATCCGAACCAACAAAACCTCCAAAATCACACTACCGAACTGAACAACAGTTGCGAGAAATAGGACATGAAAATCATCATCACCCGTGCCTTGTCGACTGGCGTGGGCGATCATGGACCTTCACTCCACTTTGTCTTGCATTGCAACATGAAAATAAGCATATAAAAAAGAAAGTTTTGAAAATTAGCCGAATCCATCGTCCCTTGAACATCTGTTTCAATAGAAAACAACTGGAACAAGTGAAGGAGTTTAAATATCTTGGTAGCACTTTTTCTGAAAACGGGTCCTTAAACAGAGAAATAGAAATGCAGACTCAAAAAGCCAACGCTGTCCCCTACCAGGTCGTATTCCTTCTATCTTATCCAAACATCTCCATGGACACAAAGAGACAGTTTATCACTTCAATATTTATACCAACATTATGCTACCAGTACCAGATCGGGCATTAAGTAGAACCTTTGAAAGCAAAATCACTGCAATGTGAGATGAATTATCATGTCTCCGCAAAACCCTTAACATCACAAGACGAGACAGGCAGAAAAATGAACAAGTAAGAGCAGTTATTTGCAATGAATCATAGAAAAACAGAGAAATAAATGGTTTGACCACTTGTTACCAATGTCACCTTGCCAGCCAGCCTCGAGAGCCTATTACACCAAGCACTAAAGCTATAAAGGTAAAGGAAGGCCACATAAAAGGTGGAGTCAAGGAAACCCTTAGAAACATCCCAACTGAAAGAGCTGTGGAGCTAACCTACCATTTAAAACTGCATCTCCCCTAGCCGCTTTACGACAACAGAGGATGAAAAAATGCTTAAAGTGTCCCGTGAGCCCTTATGACATTCAGGGCCGTCGAGAGCCTGGTCGGGCCCTGGGGCAGCAATCACCTTCGGGCCCCTCCTCCCCCCGGTCTCACCCACCCTCACCTGCAATTTAATAACCCAACAAATACAATGTACATAGGCATATATAATCACTTTACTGTAGCATATCTATTACATACCAACATACGCTCTCTCTCTCTCTCTCTCTCTCTCTCTCTCTCTCTCTCTCTCTCTCTCTCTCTCTCTCCCTCTCTATCTCTCTATCTCTCTCCCCTCTCTCTCCCCCCTCTCTCTCTCTCTCTCTCTCTCTCTCTCTCTCTCTCTCTCTGTCTGCCTCTTAGACACACATCTTCACTACTTGGAAATGCATTTTGCGAAAGAGATGTTTGTATAAAAGCTAATCCACCCCCCTCCCCGCACATACACTCCCCAGCCTCCTTTGTCTCGTCCCCCTCCATCAAGTGCTGGGTGTTGTCAACCTAAAAATGTTATTTTTCTGATTTACCAGGTAGTTAAAAATGAAGGTAAGATGAATAAACCGATGACAGAAATTAAAATAAATTGTAATGTAACTTACTTTTTTCTTATAACAACTACAACGGAGTCTATTGGATTTAGCTCTTTCAAAACTGCCAATTATAGGTTCGTAGTCCAATTTTCGCGCTGGACTGGCCTCTATGGCCAAAATTCCAAGATTTGTGAGTCTGTCTTGACACAATGTGGGCCGCAAAATGTTTTTCACCTGAGAAAGGGTACTGAAGGAATGTTCAACTTGCGCAATTGCGACAGGCAAGGTGCAGAAGATTCTCAAAATGATTACAACGTTTGGAAACAAAGCATCTAGATCTAGTTTCAGGGAATGAAATCTGTTCAGCAACTGACGAGACGGCAAGACATTTTCTCCAATGTTCGCTGAATGAATCACTTTCAAATGTTCCAACTCTTGCGCAAGGTCTGCTGATGCATCCTCTGCATATTCCGTGTGCAATTTGTT